CGGGGGCGGGGGCGGCAGTATGAGAATGAGTCACCATACTAGAAGTTCAAGTTGAGTACTTTTGGATGTCGTAGATGTTAGGGTAGTGGTCGACGATTTAGAAGTTTTAGACTTTTAGGATCTCCTAACTATCCTATAACATCCATTGCCGTAGCTCGACTTGAACTTCTTGTGTGGTGACTCACTCTCACACTGCCGCCCTCATCTCCTCCGGCTCCGGCTAGTTTTCTAGAAGAAAGTCTAAAAAGTCTAAATTGCCGGTCACCACGATAACATCTACAACATCCAAAATTTGCACCATCACACCTTCCTCAGAAAACCGGGTCTTCGAAGCCCTAAGGGCAGCTCTCATATTCATATTCGGAATCAGCATCATCGATAACCTATAACCCACTAGGTTTCATTGAAAAAGCGAGGGGACACTTACATATTTTCCCTCGTTAGAACCATGTTTGATTAATAGTCGTAGCAGGGAAATATTCGCCTCATGATCTATTATCGTGATGTAGATAGATAGTTTAAAAAGCAGTAGAATGTGTGATCTGAAAATTTCTTAAGCTTTTGGTATTTTCTGCGCAGAATCTAGTCAGAATGTAACGGGATCTGAACAGAAGCTGAGTATTTCTGATACATAATCTGATCCTAATCTTGTCCACATTCTGCAGTACTTCAGAAGGTCATCATAGTAGTTTGTATGAAACACGCCACGATAATGACGCACTGTCGAAAGAAAATGCTTATGAATACTTGATGAGAATATGGAATTGTAGCTAGTAATGTAGTTTTCCTTTAGAAATTATTCATAGACCCAAAAATACATTCGAAAGTGGAATATTCCATCAATAAATCGAATTTTTGAGATTCTAAAAGCATTTTTATTCAAAATAAATATCATATTCGGAATCAACATAAAACACTGAATCAAATGATGTGTGGTTCAAAAACGTATTTTGTTTTAGTCAAAATATGACCTATTGATTCCCTAAAGGAATTTTTATAGGACCAAGGTGGCCATAGTTTATTATATTTATCAATAGTGATCATTGAGCACGTTTTTATTTTTTAAGGAGGGAACGTATGGATGTGTCCCCTCAGTTTTTCTTCGAACATATGCCGATCGATAGCATATATCGAGATAGTAAACATCTTAAAAGGATTTTTGCTCATGGCACTTCCTTTAAAAATTAGAGCATTTTTTCTGTTTTTCTCAGCGGAAATTCAGAGATTTTTCCTACTATAGTAGAGAATCTTATAACTTGGGAATGAAACGTACTAGAGAATTTAAACCTTCAAAGTAATTATTGCTTGCACAGCCCTACCTGGTATACAAGTTTCAAGTAAATATGAGTTAACGTGTCAAAGTTATGAATTTTTCTATTTTTCTCGATTTCCACTACGAAAAACTCCTTTATATTTTAAAGGAAACCTCCTCCCCTACTTTCCGGAGCCAGAAATGCTGATTTTCGTTAAAAATATCTACTTTGAGGAAAGCACATGGTTGGATAGCTCACAGTGTCTACTTTCTAATAGCATAATTTTTGTGTTGATGGGATGGGTTTTTCGTACGTTTTGAATGAGTTTTCCAGAAGTCTCATAGCAAAACAAATGGTTTTTTTCCACTTGCATTGCATAAGCGCAGGCATGTGTCGCACATGTTCGCGCACATGTTTCATTGATCCACCATGACCGATTAGCTTTAGCAAAATATCAACAAATTATTTAATGCTCAAAGATTTTTTAAGAAAAACGCCTTTAGCAGAATCAAAACTTAATTTGTGTTTTTCTTAAGATTGCTTTTTAGCTTCAGGACTTTTGCCACGTGCAGAAATTCTCGGTAACGGTACATCGGAGAAAGAAAATTTTTTTTCGATTTGTATATAACACCTATATGTAGGAGTTGACAGAGTCCGATTTTTGAATTATGCTTCCATTTTTTCTAGAAATGAGGATTTTTAAAAAATCTTCCAAGGATTTTTCGAACTTTAAAGTTCTATTAAGCACCAGAAATCAGTAAATGAAAAATTCAAAAATCGGGCTCTGTCAAATCCTAGTCATAGGTATCTACCGCAAAATAAAAAGAGCCCGAGCTCTGTATCACTTATCTGGAATGAAAATTCTTGCAGATGGTGGCGCCTATTTTTGATCCTTGCTGTAGCGCTGTTCCACGAACAGTTGCAAGTGGCACTAAAAAAAGCAATTAGCGCATAGATGCAAATAATATGAGCCGAATAATAATGGTAACTGCAATTCTCGCTTGCGGAGTTATTTAGGCACATCGCATCGCCGTAGCAATGCTTGCAACCGATTTAAATCAATTGCACGCATTGGTATGCACCGATACTAATTAGTAGCATCAGTGAAAACGTATAATTAGTGAAAATTGATCAAAATTTGATGAAAATATTTGACGTGAAGACCAATAAAACTTGCAACTGAAATATAAATATCATGATTAACTAATCACAGTGATTAGTTTTAGTGATTAGTCTAACAACTGTGATTAGTTAATCATGATATTTACAGCAGTTTTATATTACATTTTTCAATTATTGTCTAATTCAACTGCTTTAGCAAATCAATTCTTAAAACTTGAAACGTTCCGGAAAAAATGATATTTTTTCATTCCACTTTGTCGCTCGTTGTCTCCTCTATATAATCATATGAAAATCACAAAATCGACTTTTGCAGGAAAGTCAAAGTTTTGAAGGAAAGTTAATCTGTTAAGAGAGCAGCAGATAGAGAACTAATTTTTTTTATTTGAAAAGGCGTACAAAACCGGAGTTGGTAGAAGAGACTAATTTTTAAATGTCATCTTAATATGTTTCTTGCTATTTATTGTGAATTATGAATACTTTTGCAATTCATTTTAGACTAATTTATATGATGAACTTATTTATCTTTATTCATTAATAATCACATTGTGAACAACATTGTGAAAGAATACAGAAAAAGATGTTTATGAATGGAAAAAATTTAAATGAATCAATTATTTACAGATGTTATTTGAATTAATTATCTTACGCAAAAGAAAGAAATTTATATGTACATTTTGAAAAGATATCGAAGAAACACCAGCTTATATTCTTGCTTTTCAATAAAATATATATTGTTTTTGTTAAATTCTTTTTGCATTGTTTTTCATATATTTTAACATCCAATTTTTTCTTTTGATGATTGTAAACGAATGTTGTCTATTTTTATTTGGTTTTGAATATACATTTACTCTAGGTGAATAGTTCGAAATGTGGATAAAATATTATTACAAAGATTCCAAGAAACATCAATAGAGTCAGCACTGTTAGGTTGATGAAAGTATGCCAATGCTGAACTTCTTTCTTGCAAGTACAATTCTCTAAAAGTTAATGAGAATTCTCGAATTTTCGACTTTAGACGCCGACCATTAATTTCAAAAGAAAAAAATTAAAAATCAGGATCCGTCAACCTCTAGCCACATGTGTTTTCGTCAATTTAAGACCAGCTCGAGCGCTCCATAAAGTTTTGTTACTGAGGAATCTGGGAGCTACGAACAGCCTCATTTTGATCATACCTCACAAACCATGCGAGATGGAACCAAACAAAATATTTCGTCATCGTGCTTTCACAAGATCAGCATCTTCTCAAAGGTCAGTCAAGCTTAACGGGCGTTAACTTTTGCTGAAAAATTTTACTCAAAGTTGGACTTTCTTGACAAAGCTTTAGCGTTGAATTTAGCACCGTATATGTACAGGCACAGATGTAAACTAACTTGATCTTGATTTTATTCAGAATTCAAAGACCAATCAGTACATAATTCTTCAAGATGCTTCCCTTCGTTTGCATACATATGATCGTTAAGAATCGAATCACTTTCAGTTCAGCACTATGTGAAAACTTTAGGCATGCACCAAACCGATAGTTCGATGACCGAACGGTTAGCAACCGAACATGTTCGGTCACCAAATGGTTCGCTACTGAACATGTTCGCTGCCGATCAGCGAGCCCTAGCTTGGGATGGTTGAATGCCTGATCTGGACTAAAGGCAAATTGAATGAAATTGAAGCTTTTGAAGGAAGTAATCAATGAGAAAATAAATTAACTAAAGCACAGTGTGAGCGAATGTGTCTTCTACCGGATCGCTATCGAACGTGTTCGGACGAAGATTGTAAATACGATAGTTTATATTTTTCTCACCAGAGACAGCGACGAGCGCTCTGCTGACAAACCGTTCGGTGCCGATCAGCGATTTCTAGTTTGGGATTGTTGCATGCCTAGTGAAAACTGTGTCATCTTTACTTTTTCACATCTTAACTGTTTTCTTCTATACATTTATTAGATAACACAAGAAAAATTTTAAAAATATCGATTCGCCTTTACACTAATCAGTTTAAATGTATGTTACAAATAAAAGAAGAAAAAGATTGAATTCAATGCACTAAATATTTATACAAAAGGGAAATTCAGTCTAAATAATGATAAAAAATAGCTTGTAAACTTGGACTTTCCATAACTGACAATGGTGGTAAATCATTCATAATAAGACACACTGCAAGTTGTGTTAATTGCGTCACTTGAGCACTATTAAGGAGTAAGCAGGAACTCGGATCATTTTTCTTCGTTGTATCCATCGATTCCTTGGCTGTTTGATATTGACTATTATGATGTAATTTCAGATGGCGAAAAAGCGCAGTTAGTTATAGCTCCTGTTGTATGTTTTATAATGTTATTACAAAGATTCCAAGAAACATCAAAAGAGTTAGCACTGTTAGGTTGTTGAAAGTAGGCCAATGCTGAACTTCTTTTTTGCAAGTACAATTTTCTTTGTATTAGATAATGTTGCTACTATTAATACAGAAGACGACGTTGGCGAGTAATAACAGACGTAGGTGTTGGTGATACTGGTAGGAGTAATGCTGCTGGTTTAGCAGGAGAAGATGGATTTCATGGTGTACACAGAAAGAAAGATGAAGGACTATTTGATTTGATTTTAGAAAATATTTGAAATATATATGTACAAAACCATTCGGCTAATACAGTTGTCTAAAAAGGCCAATGTTGTTTGATCTAAATAGCATAACGGATGAATAGAGTAGAGATTATTTCATGATATAGATGCAATGTTAAGAAATATTTTATTCACATTCCTTCGCTGAAATTCCATCAGGCAGCCTTAACTTCATATGTCACTTTCATTAGCTATTATTTTCTTAATGCACAGTGGAATAAAGGCTATTTTTGACTAAAAACACTATTGTTGCTGAAGGGGTGAGGGTAGATGCATTATTCGCCTTTTTTTGAAAACTTGTTCTACTTACGGTCTCATCATTTTGGTCTATCATTTTTCCTTCTTTTGTTTTATTACTCGCCTTTGGTCATCTGTTTTCTGTCATTTCATCTGTTTCTATGTATGCTTTTTCGGTCATTGGGCGTATTAAACGTTCATGTTTTCTTTTCTCTACTATGATGTGTCCAATTTATTTTTAATGGCTTTCTTGCATCTGTGAGAGACTCTTTTAGCTCATTTTTACATGTCAATAGCGGAGTCTTTCTATGTACCACACATATTGAGATGCTTTTAAGAAAGAGAGTTCCTCACAGTTATATCAAATAGTCCCTACCCCAATCTTTCTAACTGCTGAAAAGAAGATCATCTTGACCATCAAACCAAAACTAGTAGCGATTAGCGAAGATGATAAAGTTTAGAATTCGAAGGATTAGACAAAGAACGTTGTAACATAGGAAACGAATTTACCATCTGCAGAGAAGAAACAGAAGCTAGAAATTACTTCCAAAATCTCTAATTCCCAGAATTAGTAGAAGAAAATCTCTTCCTTTCATGTACAGGAAGTGAGATAAAAACTGTATCCACACATACATAAAAAATATACATAATGATCTGATAATACTGTCCACATTTTAGCCAATAAAATGCATAAAGAATACGACGTACGAAGAGATTCACGACATAATCGTAGTGCAGCTGAAATGCGGAGAGACATTCGTATACACACAAAATGACATCGCTCTACGAAACATGTCATGTAAGAGCAATGGCACATATCTACTCAGGATAGAAAAAGGATACGCGCTCGAATTCGATGATGTAAAGAGGCTAAACATCCTTATTTTGATGGATGCACTTAAATATACTAAGCCCAATAGGTCCTTACAGATTTTTAGTAAATGCTTCCTTTCGGAATATCCGATGTACTGATATTCTGACGCCTCTCGATGGAATTGCATTAGCCAGTTGATCTTTGTGATGAATGTGCATTTTATGAGAATAATTCTCAGGTAGTCAGCAACTACAGCATGCAACATCCGACAGAAATTCTTGTATTGTAATAAAAGTGTTGTCTACATTCGTCCATAATTTAATAGCTTTCACGTTACAGAGCTTAAACTGATAGTCTAAACGTGAATAATATTCCTATGAAATATGATTAAGCCAAAACCAAAACTGTGCTTAAACTTTGAAGGCGGAGCGCCTTATATTATCTTTTCTTTTTGAATTGCTACTCAGGAAGGTGATTGTTAGTACTGAAATCTTTAGCAAAAAATAAATAAACTACTACGATGGAAAGTACATAACAAATACATTAGTTAACAACTCCACTCCATATACAAATAATAGCTCAAACCAAAACTGTACGTAAAAATTAAATTTGATACATCTTACGAGGCACGAAACTATCAGAAAACGATCCTTATTGCGTGTAATACCTTTATTCATTTGAACTGCGAGATCAATGCGCCAATCTGCCTTTTATTCTTATAGATCGTATTGTCAAATTTCATCTTAGATTCACCGAAAGTTGTTTTGTGTTTTTTCTATTCAGATAGCCGAGCTCTGTATGGACTGCACCGAGACCATAGTTCCGTCGACTCCAGTCCACATGGACTGGACTGAAAATTGTTTTAGTTCATGGACTCGGACTGAGGTGGACTCAAACTTCCAAGACAATAAACTGGTCTGGACTCGAAAAAAGGTTTTTGATTCACTTGAGTCGAGGAAAAACAAGTTGTTTTTGTATTGTAGACTCGGTTGGACTACTTTTTAAGAGTCCATTGACTGAAAAAAGTGTTTTTCATGGACTCGGACTGGACTAGATCTTTTCAGTCCATAGATTGGACTGGACTCAGAATTTTGAGTGCATATGGAGCTCTGTTGGATAGTCCTGTTGATGTTCTGATCATCAGTTTGTGCCATAATCAATCGAACACATCATTAATCAATGAAACAGAAGGAAAAATTAATGTAGTTGTTCTATTTCTTGTTGTTATAAGTATATTTTGTCGATATCTAACGAATATTTTGAATGCAATATTTACTTTTATAAAGATATTTTAGGAATAATTAGTAATTTCTTGAGTATAATGATATTCTCAAACAAACTTCCATCATCATCTTTTGGCTATTACTGATGCATTAGCTCGCTTAATAATTAGTCATCCATATGCTTTGGAAAAACACAAAGGTGTTCATCATTTAGAATCACCATTATTATGGGGCTTTCAATTATTTTTAACAAAAATATTTGATGAATTATGTCCATATTTATTAGTGCACCGACCAGGTAGAACTTAACATAGTTTATACATCCGTCAAAGATATTCTAATGTTAAATTACATACGGAATTAGTTTTGTGGCACTGACTTCATATTGGCTATATTTCTAAGCGTTGAAATGAGCGTTTCAGTTCTGATACATTCTGGAGAGAATTCTGTTGTATCTATTTTCTTTTCTTTTATAAAAATTTATAACTAAATAGAACAGAAGAACAAGATGAAATTACAAACGTATGCATCCATTCGCTGATGTCAATAACAGAATATCTCATTTCATTATTTGACGACTAAAAAGAGAAAAAATTTCATCACTCACCAGTAAAATGTGCAGCAGCAATAATTATTCATTTTAACGTTCACAACTTCATAATGGGTAGTCTTCCATCTCGAGCTCCGCGTTTAACTCCGCGCATAAATGACGATGATGACTATCAAGTTGTAGAGAAAGACTATGGTGATCGAAAAGTCATTTATCATATACCTGTTGAATACGCTGATCAGTACGATCTCGATAATGTAGATGAGACGATGTTTGATCGGCCTGTTAAGCCCAGGATAGCAAGAGTTATGTATAGACCGTACAAAACGATTGATACTAACGACTATTACTACGAATATGAGCAACCAGATTACGAAAGCGTCCAGTACGTTCAAGAACCGACTCCACGGCAACGACATGTCGTGCGACGGACCTATGTAAATGACTGCAATTATTATAACGATCAAATCGAATATTTTGTGAAGGAACGATCGCTGCCAACTGAAGTTCGAGTAAGAACAAATGCATGGATGCTATACCTCTTGATCAGGAGATCGATTGTCCGAAATGTAAAAATAACGAGTTATTCCTACTTTTATTCTTGTGTTAAGTACACTTCTATCCTTAAAGAATGATTGTAAGTCTAAAATGGCATTGATTTGTTCTTCATAAGATTATTTTGAGAGAATAATACTAGCAAAATTCACTGCAATTTTCGATAGTTTATTCTTTTGAAGTTTCTTGACGTCAAGATGTTCGATTTTTTTCCACGATGAAATTTGAGATCTGGATTAGAACAGTCACAGTTCAACCTTTAATGGAAAGTAGAAGTCATAGCTCTTTAACAAATGTTAATATTCAGTTTGAACTTAAGAGTCTTAATACATTGTAGTTTTATAACAAGACTAGTATAAAACACCATTTTTAGTATGTTTATCAACGTCCTATTCGTCAACCTGTCTACATACTAGAAGAAGGCGATCCGTCAATAACTGCTCTGCCACCGAGTGCGATATCTCAATCACAGCGACCGATTATCGATCAACAGTCTCAGTATAAGCCCATTGTTATTCGCCGTTATTGAACCAAAACAACGGTACACTATCCATTACCACCTGAAGCATCCAAAGCAATAATACTAAGCAATCCAACGTATCTACAAGCAACGGACATTATTCTTGCTAATCGAGCTAAACACTGGATGGAAGAAGAAAAATATCGCGATCCACCACAGCGAAATATAACTATAATCAAAAATAATTTTATTGTTCACAAATAAATTGATCACTACTGTACATAAAATTAGCTTTTTGTCCCGACTATACGTTACTCTTTCACAGTTGCGGCTTGTGGTCTTGAATTCACTGTCAGCTCAATAAGATTTTGTTCCACCTTAAACTTGGTCTTTGTTCAAAAGACGGGGGAAGATAAGAACCAGAAACGGCCTCGTCTCAAACCAGCCTTATGTTAACTCATCTACTGCAGTTTTTCTCCGCGATTGAGTCTAATAAAGTTAAACCTTAACTACTGTACTTTATATATCATCCGATAGAGAATTTCACAGGCTACAAAATGATGTATAAGACAGTCACAAGAAAGTATAACTGCGTAGTCTGAGATTCAGCACACTCTGTAGCGTTTTAGCACACCGATGGGTCACCGTTGTTCATGGTTACCACTTCTCGTCTATTTTCAAGCAAAACCAATAACATATTTGAGATCAGCAAACAAAACTGAGTCGAATACCATACTTAAAATTTGGTTTTTGAACAAAAACATTTCATTAAAAATTTTCTCTGTAGGTTAATGGTGAGTGTGTAATATTTCTGACAAACATTTCACCTACGTTTTTTGAAACAATAGGTTGCTATTATTATTTTTTCATAATTATAATGTGCATTAAATGTAATAAATAGTAAATAGAAGAAAGAGCGATCCTTCATTCCTCACCCTCACTCTTCTACGTATGTTTCAATCGTGAGTGCTCGTTCTCAATGAATTTCCAGTACCGCAAAATAGTTAACCTTCATATTTTGAAAAAGAAGTAAAATGCTTATATCTCACGAACCATCTAGTAAAAGAGGCCCAGACTTGATGGGTGATCACTATTCGATAAGAGCTATGACCACACAAAATTAAAAGTCCCTAGCTATTATGGTTCTTGAGTTACAGGAAGCCCGCTACTTTTGATGAGTACTGTATCATTTTGTAGCTTGAAATTCTCTATCGAACGGTATGTAAGAGTCGATATTTGCTCTAGGTGAAAGAGGTGGAATGATGAAAATACTTTGCGTAAAGGTCATTTAACGAGGGAACAATTTGTTTTTCTGAAATGCTTCCAGGGTCTCTGAAAAGGTTTTTCAAGGTATAAAAATGTGTTAGGGTTAATCGCGGACAAAAACTGCATTGGATGAGTTAACATAAGACTGATTTGAGAGGGAACTGATTTTGTGGGAACTTCTTTTATTACCCACCGTCTTTTGAAAACCAAAAAATTGATATAATGAACTTTATCTTCATCGAGAGCACAGTTGTGAGAGAAAGGAAGGCATAGTTCAAGAGTCTACATAATTGAACATTGAAGGAGTCCGCTGTATGCATAAGATTAGTAATATTAATAGTCACATTCACTCTAACTGTAGAGTCAGTAAGTACACAGCAGTTGAAAAGAGAGTTAAGAGATCTGAACCTTCTCTTCGTTTTTGCATTAGAGAAAAGGTGAAAATAAAAATACTGTGTACTGATTTTAAGCTTAATCTCTAATTCAACATGGAGTAAATTGTACCGTCTTCCTGAAGAGAAAATCGGATAAAACATGTGCGCTTAAGTGAAAATACACCCAGTGTCCATGTGTGTTATCTTGCCTTGGGCGAGCTCAGGTGAGCGATAAATGTGGAGGTGTTTAGAGAGACTTTTACAAACAGTTGGTATATTTATAGAAAATATATAATTTTTAAAGGTTAACATTGAAACCATTCCGTATCCATACAGCCCTCGTACCATTTCCTTTCCGATCTTCTTTCTGTCAAAGCAGTGATATGATCGTTTAAACAGACAATATATTCGCCCGTTCTGCGACGAGTTCTGTTAGACAAACGTTCAAAATAAAAGATATACTACTAATTTAATCGACTATGAATTTTCTGCATACCTTGTTATAACATGATAAAGTCTTATTCGAACATGCAAATATTTATTTTTCAAACACTTACGCTATAAACAATCAACATATTCAACTAATATGCAAATAGTTTTATCAAAGCTTTCGAAAAGGTATACTTAAACTGAGTGAATACTAATAATCAATATTACTACCTATATTGAATAATCGAAATAACCAATAAGAAGTGTGGTATACTATACTCGTTACAAAAATAGTCCGCCAAAACTTATCGAGTCATGTGCAACTCCCACTTATTTTAAGAAAAATCCTGCCCGTTATGCTAGCGACATTTAGCGGCCTATACTATGAAATATCTTTTACTTCATAGGATATAACACAGCAGACTAGTGTGTACGTGTGTTTTCAAGAACCTTTTCGTCAGAGACCAATAAAGTTGAAGTGCGCACCACGCAGCTAAAGACAGAATGGCTCTATTATCTCGCATTAGGCATGCAACGGTTATGGTTATTAACCATTAACCGTAACCGCTAATAACCGCTTTATAACAGCTTAGTGTGTATTTGAAGGGTTTGGTTAACCGGACAGTTAGACTCTAACTGTCCGGTTAACCAGCTTTGAGCATCCGGTTCGTTCTAACTGTTAGAGCGAACCGGATACTCAAAGCTAGCTTGAAAAATAAGAAAAAAAGAATGTCTGCCAAACGAGAATCAAACTTGCCAACTATAAAGCATTATCCGAATTGAGATTTGAAGTACGCGATGTTTTAACCAGCTAAGCTGCCAGCCACATGTGGTAGTTTATAAGTGATGAAATCATTGAGAAGATACTTCAGAGATTGGTGTTTTCTGTTTGAAGAAAGCATTTTCAAGAGTTGTGTCTGAAACATAAAATGTGGCAAATTTAATTTTCTAAATTTTTTGTTGGAACCAGATTTTGAGAAATCGTTCTTCGTGGTGAAAAACAGTAAATATCGTTCTTCACCGTGAAGATCGATTTGTACAAAGTTGAGCCTGGCAGATGATATTTAGGAAATACGTTTGCTGCATTTTTGGTTCTAGATTCAACTTTGGAAAATTGTTCCTTCATCGTGAAAAATCTCAATGCCATCTTTTTCGCTATATTATTTTTCGCAATGAAAGAACAATTTTCCAAAGTTGAATCTAGGACCAAAAATGCAGCAAACGTATTTATTAAATTTTATCTGCTGGGCTCAACTTTGTACAAATCGATCTTCACGGTGAAGAACGATATTTACTGTCTTTCACCATGAAGAACGAAAATGCTTTTTTCAAACAGAAAACACCAATCTCTGAAATATCTTCTCAATGATTTCATCACTTATAAACTACTACATGTGGCTGACAGCTCAGCTGGTTAAAACGTCCCGTACTTCAAATCTATATCCGGTTAACGAGGCGCTCCAACTATCCGGTTAACTGAACCTTCCAAATACATATTAAGCTGTTATAAAGCAGTTATTAAATCGTAACCATTGCATGCGTATCTGGCACAGTAGTGTTTACGTTGAACAACGTGGGTGATGTTGTGTATGGATGCACCGGTTTTATGTTATAACCGTACAACTGATATCGGATTGTAACCGACATGTCTGTCACGTTTCCATGTTGTCAGGATCCTATGATCAGAGAAGAATTCAACATTTTAAATGTACTTTCATAGGACATGCAGCGCTGGATTGGAAATTTACAGAACCTGGCTCTGAACTGTACCGAAATACTTAAACTAAAAGAAAACTTTACCTTCTCCTGATGCAAAACGTTGAGTAATTGATAACAGAAATTTGAAGAAGAATACGTGGTATAATAGGTATTAGCCGAGACTCTTCTGTTCGAGTAAGGAATGATAGGTTTCTTTGTCATCTGACGAACCGCAAACTTCTCCGGCTTATTTCGCTAACCGCTTATTTGAAACAGAGAAGAAATCAAAAAGATGATCGCTGAAATCTTTAAATTTTTTGTTGAAACCTTTCCTGCGAATATCAACTATGAGTATGTATCGGTTAATAGCAACGGGTGTAACCCTAGTGCCTTCTGAGGTAACTGCGCCGCTATGCGGAATTACTAGGAATTCCGGAATTACTTGAAGTAGGAGCTGATGTACTGTAATAAACAGCGTCATATTACTTTATCTAGAAGCGTAGTTTCCAGAATTCCTTCACTGCAGAATTACTGGGAATTCCGGAAGGACTTGCCGTATCAACTGATTTACTGTAATGGGGAATGGGCTATAACTTCATTCCGAAGCGGCATTCCTTCAATGTGGAATTACTACGAATTGCTGGGTATTAATAGGAAGTCCGGAATTACTTTAAGTGTGGGTTCATGTGCTGTAATGGATATTACTTTATTTTCACTCGGAGTTCGCGGAATTCATTCAATGCGGAATTACTACGAATTACTGGGAATTACTAAGAATTAAGGAATTAGTTGCAGTACTGTAATGGGGAATGGCATATAACTTTATTCTGAAGCGGAATTCCCGGAATTCCGTCAATGCGGCATTACTAGGTATTCCGGAATTACTTGCAGTATGGGCTGCTGTACTGTAGTGAGCAGTGGCATATTACTTTATTTTAAAGCGGAGTTCCCGGTATTCCTTCAATGCGAAATTACTACGAATTACTGGGTATTACTGGGAATTCCGGAATTACTTGCTGTATCAACTGATTTACTGTAATGGGAAATGGCATGTAACTTTATGCTGAAGCGGAATTCCCAGAATTCATTGAATGCGGAATTCCCAGCAGTTGCTAAGAATTACTGGGAATTACTGAGAATTACTAGGAATTGCGGCGTTAGTTGGAGTATCAACTGATTTGTTGTAAGTAGGAATGGCATATAACTTTATTCTGAAGCGGAATTCCTTCAATGCGGATGTACTAGGAATTACTTGGAATTACTAGGAAGATCACTATTTTTATCTTTCTGGGGCTTTTTGAC